TTGTTAATCATAATTAAAAGATACAAATTTATTACAAAATTAAAAATAAAAAAATTAATAAAAAAAGTGAAAACATTATTATGATGTACAAAAAAAATAAATAAATAAAAAGGAAGAAGTATAATTTTTTAAAATTGCATGTCACGTGCCACATAATTATGCTATAGGATTCCGTTAAAAAAACTAACAAAAGTTTACTAGATAAATAAATATGAAATGATTTTTAAAATTTATAGATGAATTTTGAAAAAAAAATAGATTTTTTAAATTAAAAATTTAAGGATAATTTATGTATTTAATTATATTAATAGAAAGAGATAAGGTAAATACAAAATTTTGTTCATAATTAAAATTAATGGATGTCAATAGTGTTTAAGTAAAAAAATATACATACATATATATATATACACTTCCTTGTCCCAAAATAACAATTATTTTTTAAAATTTTTTTATAGTATGTTTGGATTTTAGGGGAATGGAGGGAAGGGGAGGGAAAATCTTTTTGATTAATTAATTTATAACACTTTACAAATTATAATGTTTTAAAAACATTATAATTTAATTGGTCAAAAAATCATCTCCTCCCCTCCATCGCCCTCAATTCAAACATGCGATAAATTAAAGATTTAGGGGCAATTTATATATTTACTTATATTATTTTTACAAAAAAATTCAAAGACAAAATGAGACTTTTTGTGATAGGATAATTAATCAAATTTAATTGATAACAATAGGGTTAAAGTAGAAAAAAAATGAAAAAATAATAATTAATTTGGGACAAATTCAATATTAAAAAATGATAATTATTTTAAGATAGAGAAAGTATTATACCATCTATTTTTAACCTTAGGCCCCGTTTGGTATAGCGGTTTTGAGGTAGTGGTTAACGGTTTTACCTAAACCGCTAAATATAGGTGTTTGATAAATTTATATATTTTAAAACCGCTACAACTAAAGTGTTTGGTAAAATTTTTATTTAGCGGTTTGAGACTAGCGGATAGCGGTTAGGGTCCAAATCGCTAGTAAATTGAAAAAGCTAATTTATGTAGCTTTTTGTACCAAACCACTAGTGGATTAGAATTTTTTAATTTTATTGACAAATTTATCCATTTTAATTTTTTAATTTGTGGTC